CCTTCTCACAGCTGATCCTTCCCTCCAGTCTCCTGTGCCAGCTTGCTCAGCTCCAGGATCTGTATCTGGTTTCTCACTGTGTAGATTTCATCCCAGGCTGCCCTGCTGTGGGTGATAGACATATGTTGAGTGTCTCCTTCAGCCTGGGATGAATTTCAACCTCTGCTAGCTCAATCCTTCCCCCTCTATCTTCTCAGGACCATCCTCCACTAAACGAGCTCCTCTTTCTTCCATATTCAAGCTGCCTTCTTGACATAGAAGTAAGCTAAAGTTTTTCCACTGTCAAAACTGAACCCTGTTCATCACTCTTTTCTGCTCACAGGCACTGTATGCACACTTATTTTTCTCCCCTCTGTGGCTGAAGGTCTGAAATAATGGTAAGAAGCCTTTGGAGTCACTTTTTACTAAGTGTCATTATGTGTTCAGACAGAGAGGGAGGGATATCACAAGAAGTTCCTCGAATCTTGCAGAGTTCTAACGGGAAGTAGGCTTATGTGCTAGCCTAGAAGGGAGTCACGGTGAGCCCATGAGCGATGATTTCTGTCCCTGCCCTGAGTAGGCCAGCCTAGTTCAGGAGCAGGGAAGGGAAAGCCCTGGGGTAGCTTTGGGAGGACTTGAACGGGACAAGATGTGGACAGGTGCAGAGGAAGAAGGTATCTGGAAGTAGGTCTTTGGCATAGAACTGGGATGTTGGGCAGGATGGGGGAGGTGGCATGGTCCTTAGCATGGGTAGGAGGGAAAGGTGGAAGGACCTGCAATCTTGACAGGTTGGGGCAAATGGTTCTGCTTTGTCTTGTTGGGGTGGGGCAGGGTGACCGCCACAAGATTAACCTGGTTACAACAGGGAGCTGGCAGTGTCACAAGGAGTCTTTGAAGTGTGCTGTGCAAGGGCCCAACCCCAGATGAAATGGAGATGGTGAGAACTTGGGACTTGGTGACCTATGGAGAGGGTGGGGCTGGCTTTGAGGTTGGGGTGCCATGTGGGAGAGGGCCACGGAGCCAATAGCTAGGCTGTGACACACCAGCTCAACGCAAGGTGAGGGCCTGCTGTACTAGTTCTTAATATGAATGCTGATTGGACTGGTTCCTAGGAAGGAATTAATAGTTTGTCAGATGTGATAATGGTATTTTGCTTCTAGGCCCTTATACTTCAGAGGCATGTGCTGAGATGTGCATGTACAGATGGCACATATCTAGATTTCCTTGCCCAGGTAGAAGGGGGAAAGTGGGCATGGGGCGGATGGAGTAAGACTGGCTAAGCATTGTACTGTCTAAGCTGGCTGACACAACATTCCTTCTACTCCTCTCCGCACTTGGAATTTCCCATTAAAACAAAGGGGGGATCCTCAGATAGTACAAATCCTGCACCTCAGGGGCCTCGCAATTCCCCATCAGAAATCACGGGAGGTGGTCGGAGCTGAGCCACGTGAGTTGCTTGTTAACAGTCAAAACAGTAATCCTGTCTGCTATTTTCTGCCTTGAGCAGGAAAATGCAGGAACTGGAGAAGAGAGAAATGCCTTGACTCGATTCAGAAAAGCCACCTGTGAGAGCCACATGATTTTGCTGATCGCCATCCTAGAAGGAATCCGAGTGGCTGGAGAGGCAAAATCCAATCTTAGGAGAGCCAAGTCTAATTTTCAAGGGGGCTGGGAAGAAAAGCCTCTTTGAGAGCAGCCCTCCCTCCTCCAGTCCCCTAAAGAGGCTTGCTGGCAGCACAGCACTTGGCCTGTGTGAAAGCTGAGACCTAGTTGGGACGCTGCAGCCTGGGACCTAGCTGCCAGCCTAAGGCCAGTGCTGCTGTGGCAGTAAGGCACAGAAGGGCCAGGCAGAGGCTTCAAAACGGGACAAGTCGTCAGCTGCTGTCTCCTCCCCCCGCCCCCCTCCCATGCACATCAAATCACAAAGACTAACAGCTGCTCCAAGGATGTCTCTGGCTATGCGAGGGAACGGTAGCACCACATGCCAGTAGAGGGTCCTGGATCTCTGCAGCCACACCCCTGGCAGGCACCCCTCTCAGGTCACAGGGCACCAATCAGATCTCTGTTTCTTATGAGTGCTCCCAGACAGAAGTGGTCTTTAAGAAAGCCAGGAGGGCACCTTATGAACCTGAGCAAGTGATCTCATTTTCCTTCTCTTTTGAAGGAGAGAAAAATACACAGCAGGGAGTACATTCTCCTCCAAGGAGCAATGAATGAGAGGCATGAGAGTTGAGTGCAGATTCACAGGGAGTGCTGGGAAGCTGGGATGAAGCAGGCACAGTGGGCGCCTGCAGGTGGGAGTAGAGATGGAGGGGACAAGACAGAAAAGACAGATGCTCCCAGTCTCCTGGAGAAATACAGGCACCCCAGGGTCACAGAGGGCCTGTGGTTCAAGTGAGTAGACTCCGTGACTCGGCTAAAGTCCAACTTCCGACTAATCAGTGAACCTAGGTTTTTGATCTGCAGGATCGGGCAATTCTTACCTAACTTAACCTTTCCAGGCTGTAAGGAGAAAGCTTCAGGCTTTCCTGTACTGAGATTCACAATTTTGCCCTAACTTCCCATAAAGAGTGTTTAGGTACAGGGGATTCCTTTTGGTGGCTTTTTCTCAAACTCTGATATCTGGGATGACCCTGCCTACCACATGGCTCACACAGACCAGAAGGTCCATCTTCCAGGTGCAAAGGCACTTCTGGGTTTTTCCAACCATGCCTGGCTAGCAGCTTCTGCGACCCTGGCTGAGAGCCCCAGTAAGCAGTGAGCATGGGCTGGCCTGCAGCCTTGCTGGGGACATGTGACCACCTGAATGTCTCTTCCTAACCCTCGGGATTAAAATGATACCTTGTGATGACTTTGCCTTGTTGCCTGCTACCCCTGAAGAATTCAGGTTTACCCCAGTGGAGTGAGTGCCCATCTTCATTCAGTTTGCCCCAAGAGGGCCTACTCTGGCATCCTCTGGTCTCTCTCCTGCCTTATGGCGATCCCTGTGTGGTTGGTTGCATTGAGCCCAGGGCCATGGAACCTTGAGAAAGAAAACAGTGTGGAGCTCAGTGGAGACCTTGGAGGGCACGGATGTCTGATGAACAGCCTCATGGGAGACTCTTGCAGGCCCTGCCCTGAGATTTCAGATCAGGAGCACCCAAAGGATGATGGTGAGGAAAGTGACTGCTAGTGGCTAGAACTGAGCTTGGAACCCAGCCTTCCCCAGCACTGTTAATGAACAGGTGTTGCAAGTAGCACCTGATTTTCCCCAGTCCTCCAATGAAGCTCTCCTACCCCACGTGAGGAGGCAGAGAGGCCAGGATCACATTCACACACTCATGCAGAGGCACTGTGGTTAGTGTAGTGCTCCCCAGGCATGGCGTTCCTGGTGCCCATACCCTGGCACACAGGACCCTGGCAGAGCTCTGGGGCCCCATGGTTTCTCCTCCAACGAGCCAAGGCATGCCAGTACTTACTTTTCTTAGAGAAACCTCAGCCTGGAAATCTTTTTAGTTACCAGGGGAGATAATCTTTTAAACATGGATTTACATTCTTTAAGGACTTTGGTGAGAGTTGGAGAATTTACCCGAACATGGGATGTTTATTTTTATTTGCACAGGAGGGACTGTAGTCTGGTAGCTGGATGAGAACCTTGAGCCTTGGAGGGACTTGAGCATTTGGGTCTGTCCCTCCTGATAGTTTGTCAATGATACTACAATAATGAATTTAGAGTGGTATCATTCTTCCTACCTTAAATTCTACCCTAGGTTCTGGGATTTAGGATTATCTGATGTTCTCTAAGCATATTTATCAGATCAGGTTCTGTACTATACACATGGGTATAGAGATCCAGTGCCCTCAAGGGTTTCCCATTGGGAAAGTCATACCTGTAGATTCACCAGCCTGAAAAACCTACCTGGAGCTGTGGTCAGTTTTTCCAACCTAGGACAGCCCAGTGGAATAAATTCTTCCTTACTATAAGACCAGCCTGAGTGAGCAGGGGTCCTGAGACCCAGTACTACCCCAGGCTCATATATAACAAGAGCTCACTAGGCAGATGTGAAATTGCTAAAGTGAGCAGCTTACAGAGAGAATGTGTATTGTAGCAAATACAAATGATGTGCAAAGTCAAGCCAAGTCTAGGGGGCCCAGGCTCTGGTTTGCGCTGTCCAAGCCCTTCTTTCCCCTCATCATTTTAAGAGCAGGTATCTACAGAACCCAATTCTGAAATGCAAGATCTCTGGGGATGAAGAAAAGAGGAGAGGGTGGGTGTTGTGAAGCAGTGGGTTACGTCACAGTTTGAGACTATAGCATAGTGCTGGTTTACGGTTCGATTACTCTGCCTGTGATTCAGCTTCCTGCTGATGCATCCTGGGAAACAGAAGATAATGATCCCAGTGCTTGGGTCTCTGCTGCCCATGTAGGAGATCTGGAGACATTTCAGGCTTTGGGCTTCAGATTAGCTCAGCCCTGGCTTTTGCAGTTATTTCGGGGAGGGAACCAGCAGATGGAAGACGTCTCTCTTACTCTGCCTTTCAACAAGGTGAAATTAGATACACATTTTTTAAAAAGGGAAAAAGAAAAGATGAGAAAAGAGCAAATTGCCCTGAACACAAAATTAGAAAATAAAGAAAAGCTGTGTTTTTTTATTATTTTTTAAAAGATTTATTTATTTTTATTACAAAGTCAGATATCCAGAGAGGAGGAGAGACAGAGAGGAAGATCTTCCATCTGATGATTCACTCCCCAAGTGAGCGCAAAGGCCGGTGCTGCCCTGCTCCGAAGCCGGGAACCAGGAACTTCCTCTAGGTCTCCCATGTGGGTGCAGCATCCCAAAGCTTTGGGCCGTCCTCAACTGCCTTCCCAGGCCACAAGCAGGGAGCTAGATGGGAAGTGGAGCTGCCAGGATTAGAACCAGCGCCCATATGGAATCCTGGGCGTGTTCAAGGCGAGGACTTTAGCTGCTAGGCCACACCGCCCAGCCCGAAAAGCTGTGTTTTAACACTGATTAAGTCTTGTGTTCAAATCCTTCCTCCTAGGTGCTGATGGGGAGAAAAGCTGGTTCAGGAAATATCCGTCCTGCGGGGGCCACCTGCAGTCTCCAATAGACTTGCACAGTGACACCCTGCAGTACGATGCCAGCCTGATGCCCCTTGAGTTCCAGGGCTACAATGTGTCTGCCGACAAGCCATTTAACCTGACCAATGATGGCCACTCAGGTGAGGGAGCCACCTTGGAGACCTCAAGGGCAAAGCCCAGCTTACAATGGTTTCCTGGCACAGAGGGAGCTCTGCTGAGGCACCATGTTGGGGGTTGGGGTTTGGGGTCAGTCATATGATGGGGAGACTGCCTGGACCCGTCTCCAGCAGAACCTGGGGGCCAGGGGCTCGGGTGAGTCTGCCAGTAGAAAACAAGGCCCCCCTCGGTCTATCAGTTGTGCTGCTGTAGTGAACCCTGGGCCCCATGAGTTACTCAGGGGACCCGGCAGTTTAGTGGGGTAGCAGGGGATTGAGGCTTTGTCAGACAAGCCTGGATTCAGAGAAGTTATTTTGCCTAATTAGCCAGAGAGAACCAGGAAGGTGCTGTATCCCCTTGAGAAGTGGGGTTGACCTCAGGGAAAGAGCTGCATTTCTGAGCTGCAGACTGCTCCTCCCTGGTCCTGTATTCACTGTGGCCGCCTGCCACTCTGATCTCTGGCAGAGCTCAGCTGAGTGAGGTACTAAAGCCTGCCTCTCTTCTCCACCTCATCCCCACAGTGAAATTGAACCTGCCCCCAGATGTGCACCTCCAGGGCCTGCAGTCCCGCTACACAGCCACTCAGCTGCACCTGCACTGGGGGAACCGTGACGACCCCTACGGCTCTGAGCATGTTGTGGATGGAAAGCAGTTCGCTGCTGAGGTGAGTGAACAGCCAGTCTGGTAGGACTGCCTGGTCTGGGTGCCCTGGTCCTCTGGACAGATCAGATCAGATCATAGTAGTAGTGGTGGTCGGGGGGTGGTAGCTTTCACACCCTACTGGTGGCACAGGAAGGCTCAACCACCTGCACCATCCTGCAGCTTATATGTGTGACTCTGATCCCTTCCTCCTCCTGATCTTCGTTTTTTTCTTAAGATTTATTTATTTTTCTTGGAAAGGCAGATTTTACAGACAGAAGGAAATACAGAAAGATCTGTCCACTGATTCACTCCTCAAGTGGCAGCCAATGGCCAGAGTTGAGTCAATCTGAAGCCAGGAGCCTTTTCTGGGTCTCCCACATGGGTGCAGAATCCCAAGGCCTTGTGCCATCCTCTGCTGCTTTCCCCTGGCCACATGCAGGGAGCTGGATGAGAAGTGGAGCAGCTGGGGCATGAACAGGTGCCCACATGGGATCCTGGCTCATCCAAGGCAAGGATTTAAGCACTGGGACATCGCATCAAGCTTACCTTGTCTGTCTTTATTTCTTTAACCAAGCAATGTGACTGACAAGTCAGGTGCTCCCCGGGTGGTGCAGAGAGCCCACTGGCCCCCTTTTTTAGCCATCACCACCTGTGACCTGAGCAGGTAAAGATCCCATGCTTACCTGGCTGAAGCATTCCACTACTGAATCCCCACCCCCAAACATCACAGTCCCTCATCACGTACTGTGCTGTCAATAGCCCTGGACATGGGTTGTGCTTGGGGACACGGGTACAGGGCCACTCTTCTACTGGGCACCCACCAGTAGAAGAAGGTGACTGGCATTATAAAGAGACATTCCCTATGAAGAAGTCTTGGGATGCCAGTGCAGCATCGGATTGGGCCAGCCTGAGATGCTCCTAGATGCCAACAGACAAGGAGGGGGTGGGGTGAGCACTTCCATACTATAAGCATGCAGCTAGCCAGTACAGGAAGGAGAGAGGAAGGAGAGTCAGGCTGTTCCCTTTCAGAGCTCTCAGAGCACAGAACGGGGGGGGGGGGGGGGGGGTTTTCAATGCCAGCAGGAAATCAGATGCAAGGAAACCAGGGCTATTTATTTTGATAAATAACAGCATGACTGCTGCTCTGTTCATCACTGCTGAGCTGCATGGTGCCTAGGGCTAATTACAGGTCTGGTAACAAGTGTGGAGGGGGTGTGATTCTGACACCACTGGGATTTCACAGGTTTCAGAACAAGCCCTTCCCTGCACCCCAAGAACTACAGTTTCTTCCAGGCCAATTGCAATTCTGAGATTTCTATTTCCCTCAAGGGGAATAAAACAAGAGTTAAGGGTATAGGCTAGGAGGGTTGATACATTTTCTAAGCCATTGTAATTTCCGGTGTTAAACCACATTACCTGGCCAAGGACCTGATGAATTACCATGCTGACAGTGAAGAAAGGATTTCAGTGTGACCCTAAGTAGCTGGTTCTCTATGGCAGACCTTTAAATGTGTATGTGGTAATCCTTCTAAATGACATCCATTGAAGAAGATTCTTTCTTAACCCATTATGTTCCATTCATCCTATAAACAGGACACCTAAGGAAGCTCACCTACAGCAATAAGTATACCATTGATGGTAGCTTTCTAATGCCTGTCACTGAAACACTTGGCAGGATTGAAGATTCGGGACGCTTACTGGGTTAATCCTCTTGGTAGGGGATTTCCCTGTGCCCGGAATAGGCTTCACTGAACAAAGTTACAGTGAACAAAGGAACGAAAGTACTCATATGGACCATAAACTTGCAGTCAGCTGTAAGCACAAAGAGAAGAACCAGGCCATTTTGTGGGTTTTAGCTCTGTTTCACTCTTAGAGCCTTGCTAGACCAAGACAGTATGGACAGGATGGGAGGCGGTGTTCTCTCTCCAGGGGCCCTGGAGAAATCCTTCCCAGAGGACCACTTAAACAATTATATCATTTTTAATCATTTGAAAAGTTTAAAATAGGAACATCATGCCATATTCAATAGAACATGCTTGAGTTTCTTATAGACATATGAGTTGGAAAAAGAGATGAATGCAAACAAACCATTTCAATCTGTCAATCTCAAGGGCAAAGAATCAAGAAAACACATGCTTTGAAATAGGTGGACTTATCTACTAATAAGGTTGTTGAAGCCCAGGTGAGGAGGGGAGTGGATGCAGAGAAGAAAGGGAAAAAGAGGGAGAGACAGAGAGATCATCTGCCTGCCAATTCAGTCCCCAAATATCCACAACAGCCAGGGCTGTGGCAGACCTAAGGCAGGAGCCAGGAACCCTTGTCTAGGTTGCCAGCATGGGTGGCTGGGGCCCGAGCACTTCGACCCTCATCTGCTGCCTTCTCATGCACATCAGCAAGCAGCTGGCTTGGAAACAGGGCAGCCAGGACTCCAGCTGACGCTCTGGTAATTAGATGCGAGCATGCCAAATGGCAGTTTACCGCATTGCACCACAATGCCCACCCCTCAACTTTTTAAATTCAGGAATTCTTGGAAACTTCTCTTTTCCTCTGCTTAATAATTATAAATCTTTTCTGTCCTCAGAGCTTAGATTTTTATTTTGTAAAGATGAAAGTGGTAAGACTTCTGAAGCCTGCTAAAATACATGTGACGGAAGTTAGAAAAGCCACATGGGATTCTCTTCACCTGAGCAATGACTACGTCCAGTGCCAAATACAACCATGCCTGAGTTATAGCTACAGCTCTCCCACTATACCCCCTTGCCCCACTCCATACTATTTCCCAGATCAAGTACAGGGAAGCCAAGACCAGGGAGGGGGTGGTAGCTGAATCACAGGGGCCCCCTCTGCCTCAGCTTCCAGACTACAGCAGGAAAAACCAGAAGGGAGAGAACTTGTACGTGCTCAGGCTCTTCAGTGGCTACTGTAGAAACCCACTCATCCACTGGTTCAGTCCCATCTGTCACCCCCAGGCACTGTATCCGACCCTGGGACATGACAAGTTGAGTGATAGACACAGCCTGTCCCAGTGAAATCTGAAGTTCACAGGTTGGGGTGTGAGACTTGGGACTGCCAAAAAGGGAGGGTCTGAGAGGCCTAAGAGAACAGGGGGAAGATGGGACAGGGATGGAGGCCTCCAGTCGAAGCAGGAGATCCTCTAACTGTGGCTTCTTGTACACCGCAGCTACATATCGTCCACTATAACTCAGACCTGTACCCTGACATCCGAACCGCCAGCAACATGTCAGAAGGCCTCGCTGTCCTGGCTGTTCTCATTGAGGTAAGAGCTAGCTAAAGGACTTCGTATGAAATTTCAAGTTGGGATGATGAATGCCAGATGGTCCTAAGCTGCTCCTGTATGGGGCCTGGTTTGCGAAGCAGGGGGATTTCCCCATGGGGCCCTTTCTCTTAAATCCTGCAGGCAACACATCTTGGGGCTGGACAGCAGTGTCCTTTGTAATGCTGGAACAAGTAGTTCCAGCCCCAACCCCATTGCCTAAAGAATGCAGTCACCCTGCTGGAGAGGCCCAGTGCTGCTCCACCAGGGGGTCTGAGCCCTGGGTAAAACTACCAGTTTCCAAACTCCATTTATCATATTAACCCTGGAAAAGAGTCTCTGCCCAGAAAATGGGAATGTGTTGTGAGTCACTGGTATTATGTTGTTGCTTTCTGCCTCATTTCTCAACCTCCATCTGACTTGGTTTCTGTGGACTCAGTGCTCCCTGTGGTTCTCAGTTGAGTGGACATCGCTGTCTACATCCTCACTCCCTCCAGGCCTGTGGCCAGAACCTCAGGAGGACCGCAGTGTGTCCTGGGCTGTACCAGGGCAAGACCGTGACACCCACTCCCACCAGCCTGCGGAGCCATCATGATCCACCCTTAGGGAGGATCTTGGCTGTGGGAGCCCCAGCCCAGCCCCTCTGATGGCAGCTTTTAATCTGTTACAGAAAGGCTCCTTCAATCCCTACTATGACAGGATCTTCAGCTTCCTGCCATATGTCAAGTACAAAGGTAAGGGTGACCTCAGATGCTCACTGTTGAAGAAGGACAGACCACCCTCTGAGGTTTTAAGGAAAGCAGGTGTGAGGGGCAGATGCTGTCTGCTGGCAGTCGGGCTGCTGGATATAAGCTGTGTGTGTCCTTGGGCTGGGCAGCTCTGCCACAGGCAGTGAGGCTGATACCATCCCCTCCACCCCCCAACATACACACCTATCTCTCCAGGACAAAATGTGCGCATCCCAACCTTCAATATTGAGGAACTGCTTCCCGAAAAGCCTGCTGAATACTACCGCTACCGAGGATCCCTCACCACCCCGCCTTGCTACCCCTCTGTGCTCTGGACGGTTTTCCGAAACCCTGTGCACGTTTCCCAGGAGCAGGTAACTGCCACACTTGCTGCCCTCATGGCACCTTGGTCTCCTCCCTGAAAGGGGTCATCGTTGTCATCATCATCCTCGTCGTCATCATTGGTGATGTGATTTGCTCAGGTTTCCCTGGTGGCTACTCAGAACCTCTCCCTGCAGGGCAAGGGGGCCCGAGAGTGCCAGGGAATTTCAGGCTGAGCTGCAGAGAGGAGCTGCCAAGTCTGGCAGGAAGTGTCTCCGTGGCCATGGAGAGCTGTCCAGCTGCCTTGACTGGTCAGCCCCCAGGGGCTGGGTGGTAGCAATTCCTAGACAGGGAGAGTATGTGGCTCCCTCATGGAGTGGAATCAAGATGGCATGAAGTAAAGTCATGTACCAAAGGGAAGCCAGGATGGCAGCAGTTGAGCTAGTGGGCATCCTTGCCCTCAGGGAGTCCATTGTCCAGTGCCGACTGAGGAACAGAATCCTTAGTAAATCTCCCTATGAGCCTTTCCCATCATGAAGGAAAGGAGAGGGAATGCTAGGCTAGTGAGCAAGTTGAAACCCAGAGTCACCACTCATCCCTCTGCTCCACAGCCTGCACTGAGGGAGGACAACGGCTCCCCCAGGGACATGGAGCAACAACCTGTTAACCTGGCCTCCTTAACCCAGGCCCCAGACTAGTTTCCTGAATCCAGGGCAGCCCTCTGTGTTACTCCTTCTCTTTGCTCTGAGCCTCCGGGCAGCAAGTAGGCAGACAGAAATTGGGGTGGGTGAATCAGGAGAGCAAATATATCTGTGGGAGAACAGCACAGCCTAACTCAAAAGCCACTTTGGAAACAGATCACATCATCCATCCAGGGAGTGTGTAGAAAGGCCATGGAGCCAGGGGACCAGGGGAGTCCTCTGTTACAGAGCTGGGTTCTGGTTCGGCAGTCTCTAGGAGGGGCCAAGGAGTCCCCCCACTGTCCCAAGGTTCTCTCCCCGTGGTGAAGACTTCAGGCAGAACCAACAGCTGACAGCACTGTTCTCCCTAGGGGCTTACAGCTGCAGGCAAGACAGACCCAGCACTGCCCAGCACCCAGTTACTGATGCACACCCCCATGGCAGGGAATGTGCTTTTAAAAAAAAAAATGGATTTGAGAGACAGAGAAACAGACTTTCAATCCACTGCTTCATTCTCCATATGCCTGCAATGGTACCAGAAACTCAACCTAGGCCTTTCACGTGGGTGGCAGGGCTCTGGGTGCTTGAGCTATCTCTACCTTAGCAAGAAGCTAGAGGCTGGAGTCAGGGTGATGAACCCAGGCACACTGATGGGGGATGTGGGCATCTTGACCACTAAGTCCACTAAGCCAAATACCTGCATCTTCCTCTCCTACCCTTCCCCATCCCTTACCACTGCTCTAGGGGGTCTCTCATTGAGTACCCCAGAGGTTGGGGCCTGAGGCTTCTCCCACTGGAGAGAGGTAAGGCCAGGTAGGAGATGTCACTGTGCCTGCTGGGTATTTTCTGCTCTTTCCACCCCCTCAGCTCCTGGCTTTGCAGACAGCTCTGTACTACACACGCGCAGACGACCCTTCCCCTAGAGAAATGATCAACAACTTCCGACCCGTCAAGGATGTCGATGTGAGGCTGGTACGCACCTCCTTCCAAGAAGGTGAGGAGTTGCAGGGTCTGTGGGGTGGGGTGCCAAGCCCTGCCAGGTTTCACAGGGAGTTAGTCTCTGGCACTGGTGTCTGATTAAGGGCACCCTGGCCTTAACTATGTGGTACACATCAAAGAGCTTCGGAGTAGGGGCTTACTGGGGACTCCCCTGACCATCCTCTACTTCTCTGGGCCTTGCAGAGAAGCCTGAGCTGGGCCCTCCAGGTACCTGTGTTAAGTGTGAGTCTTCCATAGAGGAGGGAGCAAGGATGTTCTCAGGGACTTCTTGGCTCTGGAGACTGATCCGTTCTCCTAAGACCCTCAACAGGACCCTCCTTGTGAGATCAGACTTTTGACTTCTCAACTCCATCCCAGGCCCACCTGGTGATTCATACACCAGCAACATCCAAGGATGTCCCTTGCAGGATGCAAGAAAGTGGGCAAACCCCATGTGTGAGGCCATTAGCAGCTGGAGGTCTCCTGCAGCAGGGTCAACCAGGCAGGAGAGTAGCCTGCTTGCTGCTCTTTTGTCTGATTCCCTGGGAGCCTGCATAGGCTCAGCACATCCAGTCCAGACTGAACAAAGTACAGTAGTTCAGTTTTTTCCTAACACCATGAGGGTCCACTTGTCCCTTTTTGTAACCAAACTGCCCAAACTTGAAGCATTTTCACTTGCTCAGTACTTTTGTCAAATGCCCCTGGAAGTGGAGGTCAAGGAAAGCTGTAAGGGTATATATATATATACTCTTGGGTTCTACATCCTTCTTCCAATCTCTGAGCTCACTTTGTCATTGTAGATTTTTTTATTGTATTTATTAAAAATTACTTATTTATTTGAAACTCCAAGATACAGAGAGAGAGAGAAAAACACGAGAGAGTTAGGCCAGGCCCAAGTTACCCAGCCAGGAGCTTCTTCCAGATCTCCCATGTGGGTAGCAGGGACCCAAACACTTGGGCCATCTAATGCTGCTGTTCCCAAACCACCAGCAGGAAGCACGACTGGAAGTGGACCAACTGAGGCACAAACCTGGCGCCTATAAAGGATGCCAGCATTGCAGGGAGTGGCTTTACCCACTATACTATAGTGTCAGCCCCTCTCATTGGAGATTCTTGAGCTATTCCCACTGGGCTAAGCCTGCATGGTCAGAAGCAGGGCAGATTCCTGGAAGTTCACCCCTTCACCCCTTTACATCACCCTGGGACCCCAGTGGGCCAGGTATTCATGTTTACAGATGGGAGAAGCCATCCCTCATTTCACCTGGGTTCTTAGTTCCCTTCTTGCTGTGTGAGATCAGAACTATCACCTACCATACTTGTTACACATACACTGTGCATTAATTAGGAGCCTGCCTTTCTGAGCGGAAAGGAACAGAATTAGACCCTTCGCTTCCTTTGCAGAGAATTGCCTGCAGATTGGTCTTTTCACAGACTCCAGATGCTGACATTTGACATCATTTCTCCCTTTGCCCCAGTCCCTGGCTCTGAAGAGATCTGTGAGCAATGGCGCTTCCACAGGGACTTGAGAATCTACATGCCAATGACAACCAATCTCAAGGAAGTGACTAGAATGTGTAGTCTTAGCCCTTCTGGGCCATTCTGGCCATAGCATTCTCCTTTCCCATTCTTCTGAGCATGTGGTATTCTAGGACAGGTGGTACTCTACAGCTGCTTCCAGTCTTAAAACCAGCATTCACAAAGCATAAAGCTTGGTGAGAAGCGACTTTGTCCCCAGACACCATAAGGACTTTTGCTGCAATGCAGCAGCAGGATCCTTTAAGCTGGTCTCGGTCTGTCCTTGGGAGCAGGATGAGGTCCAAGGCTTCAGCACTCTCTCTCACTCTCTCTCTCTCACTCTGTCTCTCTCTCCCCTTGGTTACGTGATGTGGACATACCGCGTCTCTTCTGCAGCCTTGATTTTCTCAGCTATGAAACCCCAGGAGAGCTGATATTCTTGCTGGGCTCACAGGTTATAATGCTTAGTGGATGCTAACAACTGCCCCGTCATGACTTTACGTTACAGGGTGTGAGGGCAGTTACAGAGGATCAGAAGAAGCTGAGCAGAAGCTTGAGTGTGACAAGTAAAAGTAACTCTGCACTTATAATGTTGGACTGTGGCTTGGGGAATAGTTAGCCAACATCTTAGAATGGCTTGTAGCATGAAGTGCAGGCAGGTTCCAAGCACAGCGCTTTGTAGATTGTCCCAGGCTGGCTGGTGGAATGCAAGGGGGCCTCAAAATTAAGACCCAAATGCAACTTGGCTGCTGTCCCTTTTCTGCATGGCTTGTTCTGAGTGGCTGGGCTCGGCTCCTGGGAGGCAAAAGCAAGGCAAACTTCTTCATTTAGAGGCTGATTATAGAAACGTGGCCAGAATCCTTCCCTCTCTTTTACCTCCCAAAGACATGAGCAGCAAACAGAGTTGCTTCCTGAGGAAGGATGAGGAGGCGGCCCCAGAGGAGTGATGCACCAAGCCTCATCTGCCCAGGACAACTGCATTCCTGAGGGCCTCTAGCACCCAACTGGGAGTGGGCCTTGGACTGTTAACACGGAGCATCAGGCTTGCGATTGTGAGACTGTCGGTATGAATCTGGAGCAGTTTAGACTCAGTTATTTGTAGACCTAAAAGCATATTTACAGTCAGGGTCTGGTTTATTTAGGATTATTTTGTCTGTCTCTCCTTGAAGTTAATAAGAATAGAGTCAGAAAATTCTATCAAGGGAAAAGTAAAATGAAGGAAATCCTTGAGGAGTGTGTGTGCCTGGACTTTGGATGAGGGTAATTTGGGGATAACTGGGACTGAATTATCCAACTTGACCCTCTGCTGCTCTCTCAGACCAGGCTTAGGAAAGGAGTGGAAGGCTGGGTTTGTGTCTTTACAAGGTTTACAGTCCTCAAGCAGCTGCAAGGGCCTGTGCTATGTGTCACAGCAGCGGGCTTCCTTGGTCTGTACTAACCAGATGTCAGCAGCATCTCTCCATGTGGGACCCCAAAACTGTCTCCAGACATTGGCCAAAGGGGACATGGGTCCAAGTTGCCCTGCTTGAGAACCACCACCCCAAGGGCTGTCCAGCAACATTCCAAGCCCAGGACTGAGCTTCCCCCTCTTCCCCCCCCTACTCATTTCCTAGGAATGTAAACTTGTGCATCACATACCCTGCTCTTTATTCTGGTGTGAAGATTCAGTGTGATGACAGTTACCCCTGCAACAGTAACACTGACATCACAGAGGCAGAAACAGCCAGGCTGCTAGATACCTCATCCCCACCCGACTGCAGGATGTGAGAGAAGCTGAGAGGGTAGAAAAACTGTATCCTCACAGTGGGCTTCCCTGTGGGAGAAGCCACCCAGACACCAAGTCAGGCTACTCAGGAAATCAGATGCTGGATGAGGAGAGGAGCAGGATGGAAGTCCTGGGGACCAAGGCTCGGTTGCCTTGGGCTGACCTCTTCCTAGCCAGTGGCACCCACTCTGGAGCCAGATGGTGATGAGAGGTAAAGTGAGAGTCCCCTCAATCTGAATCATCAGGTTATTTCAACACAGTAGGGCACAGGGAACCGGAGGGACAGCAGGAAGCCAGAACATTTCTAGGATCACGTCTTTAGTAGGCTTATTCCACATGCCACATACCTGCCCGCCATCAAACCCAGAGCCCAGGCGCATTTAGATGAGAGTGTATGGCGGTCAAGGGGATGGGTCTTCACAAATGGCCAATCTACTGCGCAGCACAAGTGGATAGTTTTATAAAACCTTAAAAGCAAGAACCCTCACACAGCTAAGACAGCTCATTATCGGAGGGTTATCCTCCCAATTAGAATGCACACACTGTAGCTGTTGGCTTTATTTCTATTTGTAAATAAAAGGAATCAGATGGTAGTATATCTTCCATTCTGGCTACCTCACTCTCTGTGGACTTAGTTCAGTTTCCTAGGCATGAGAGGGGCAGTCCCCCAGCCATGAGTTGGGGCTCCTCAGTTGTCTGGGGGCCTCAGTGGCTGTCAGGATGTTTGGGTTACTGCAAGAGGTGACTCAGGGAACCACCCAGTTTGGCTGGTTCAACTGAGTGGTCAAGCCCACTAGTGTACAAGGTGGGACCTGGTCAGGCCCCACTAGCCAAAGGGGCTAAAGAGTGATGCATCAAAGGGCTTAGGGAAGAAACCATGACCAGGTTTCTTATGTCAGCCATTTTAACATTCCAAGGACTAAGCAAGGTCTCTGAGTACCTTCAGAAAAAAAAAAAATACAACACACCCAAACATGCAGTTATGCTGTGCAGTGGCCACAGGCCACACAGGCACAGAGTTATTGCCAGATGAAGACTTGGGGTCCTTGAGCCACAGACTGGTCTTTGTGTTTGGGTTACAAGAAGAGGCCAGGAGCAGGGAATCCAGGAGTCACCCTCTCTCCACTTGGGAGGCCAAGAGAACAAGCCACTCTGTCTCTGGGATAGCTCTTTTCCATGGCTATCAGGCACATCCTGGCAGCTATGGAAGGTGAAGAGTCACCTGGGGATGCCAGGCCTGGGCTGGGGAGGCTTTGCAGGTCCACTGTGAGACTGCAGAGGGGGACAGGAAGCAAAGATCACTGCTGAAGAATCACCCAGGCTGAGCAGAATATGCTCTGGTTCTGCAGTTTATCGAGTGTCCCAAGAGGAGTTAGTTGCTGACTCTCTACTGGTGCTCTCATACTTGGCCAGGGCTCTGCCAGGGTCTCGGCTGCTACAACAGGCTCTATGGACACAGGCTCACCTACATGTATGGCTGGGTGGTCACGACCTGCACACTCTGCCTTATGGTATAAGTTAGAATAAAAGAACTCTTGCCATATACATATACACACAAAACTAGAAGTTTCCACTGAGGTCAGAAAAACACCAGCTAAGAGGACATGTGTAAACTCAGAGTCCCAGATGGAAGACCTGACTGGGAGTATGCAGAAGAGAATGGAGATTTCACCTTGGATGGCAGCACACCAGATCAGCCCCACTGAGGACTCCCAACTCACCCCATTCAGCCCCAACAGCAATTTGCTGGAAGAAGCCATCATCCTCTGATTCCATGTATCAGGGAAGGATATGGTGGACAAGTAGGTCCAGTAGGACTAAAGCAAAACTTGGAGCAAATCATGATGACAGATGGGTCTGGGATGGGGGAGAAGTCTGGCAGTGGGTTCCTAGCTGAGGAAGAGAAGCAGGTGCCAGAGAAGTAGACAGTAGCCTGCCAGATGGGTTCTGGTTCTTAAACTCCCTCTCCTGGCCTTGCTGAATTAGAAATTGAAGTTTTGACTACAGAGGGACTGCTGTGATGAAGGAGAATGGGACAGAGGGACCACAGGATGAATGCCCTAGATGTGCGCCCACTCTCGTCCATTGGGCAGTTACCTGAGTCAAGACCAAGCACCCCTAGAAACATAAGCCTTGTGTCACCAAGAGCTTCATGCAACGCAGCAGTCAATGTAGCACTGTTCATTGGTAAAAGATTAACTTACAATCTTTTCCTCCCTCCCCCTTCAAGTGCAAATCCTTCCCGGCACAGGACTGAGTGTGGGTATGTGGCCAATGCTGGCGATGCATGTTGCAGCAGGCTGATTGAGATTCTCGGTGTGATTTGGGCCTGGAATGCCTCTGGCCCACTTTCTTTGCTTCTCCATGCTGTCGCTGTGGCTCCTGGTCCCCTCCTTGCTATGGGTCTTATCCTCAGGTTGCTGTCTAATTCAAAGATGAACTGCCAATCAAAAGCTCCTCCAATGAAAGACCTAATCGACTGCATGTGTACAATCAAAGAGCCTTCCTCAGACTTCTGTTGGTCATGGTGAGAGGCTACTGGCTGAGAACACACCTGAGCCCAGTGTGGGGGTCAGGTGAACGGCCATGTATTCTTGGCAATGAACTGGATTGTTAGGAACTGCTTAAGACTCTGATGGAAAGCTGGGGGTGAAACTGACAGACATTCCAATGGGCCTTCAAGTCAGGCAAAGAGAATGAATTCTTACCTGCAGCCCAGGGTTTTTCAAAAAGTGGTTCCATGTACCATGTGCACAAACATCAGCTGGAGATGTTTGGTCAAATGCCGATTCCTGGGACCTAAGCCAAACAGACTGAATTGGGTCTCTGAGTGTTGGGCTGAAACGAAATCTATATCTTGAGCAAGCTCTTTGCATGATCTTTGTGCAAGTTTGAAAACCCCTACTGGACAACCACTAGGATTTGCAAATGGCCTCCTCTCAGTACTCCAGCCAAAGACCAGAATCTGAGAACAGGGATAGGGGAAGATTATACCTTTCTGAGGATGATTCTGCAGTTGGGGACGTGATTTCACAACCGTGTGCCATGGCATGAGAGGGAAGGGAGGGAGGGATGTAATGTGTGTCCACTGCCTCTTCACCAGGAATCATCCTTTCTGTGGCCCTGGCCGGCGTTATTGGTATCTGCATTGTCCTAGCAGTGTCCATTTGGTTTTGCAGAAGGAAGAAGAGGTGAGTTGTTTGGATTTGGAATGGGGCTGGGTGGCTCAACTGTCCATGATCCCTAGGTCTGAGAAGGCAGCTGGCAGAGGAAGGGCCCCTGTCACCTGAACCATCACTTATCCTAGGAGCATTGTTCCTGAAACACCAAGTGCCTCAGGCTTCCTTTGAATGAGACACTGGTCATTCAAGGGTCACTGTGCTTAGGTTTAGAAGTCTGCCTGCCAACCCTGCTGCCACTGCTAATTAACTCTGTGGTATCAGACAAAGCTCTTAATTTGCAGCTTCTAAAACATTTTTTTAAAAGAAAAAAAAAAAAGATTCTCAACCTGCTGGTTCAATAAACAGGGAGCCTGGAACTCAATGTGGTTCTCTTATGTGACTGATAGGGTCCCAACTATTCATGACCCAGGGTGCACATTATCAGGAAGCTGGAACTAGAAGTAGAACTGAGACTTGAACCTACACACTCTGATATGGGCTATGGGTATCTTAACTGCTGCACCAATACCTGCCTCCTCACTAAGATTACATCTTGTCTTTTAAAAATGCTCCTTCTAAAAAAAATTTTTTTAAAGGAAAATCTGATCTCTGAGTGACATTAGCTAGTGATGCTGTCACCTATGGTTCTGTGCTCAGTTCTCTCGGATCCTTCTAAAACTCAATCTTCCCAGATGTGAAAAAACAAACGGGTTGCTGGAACTTACGGAATCAAGGGTTTAAAGTAGGAAATAATGAAGCTGTCTTCTAGACACAGGTCAGGGGCTGAAAGGACACATGACGGGTTAACAGGTTCTGTTTGGGTTGATGCTTGGTTTGGGGGCATCCCCTCCCACAGTCAGCAGAACTGGGGACAGGCCTCGAAAGAGGAGTCTGGTTTGTATGGCTTCTCTCACTGCATAACTGGGTCAGCCTGCTCTCCCAGCTCATTCTATCCTCAGCCTCTAATGAGACTTGTGTGTTCTTTTTGTTCCCGTAGCACAAAAGGTGACAACAAGGGGGTCATCTACAAACCAGCTGCCAAGATGGAGACGGAGGGCCAAGCCTGAAATTCAAGGCCCTCTCAATTGCCTAAGGAAGGACCTTACTTACACAGCTGGCTCTCAGGACACTTGAAATACCTCCAGGTGTTCTCTGAAGCTTCACCTGCAAACACCCAGATGCCTGGGGGACCTCAGGCTCCCCTAAGGCTCTGGGCCACCACTAGAGTAGTGGTACTCATGGGTGGGATGAACTCCAAGAACCAGGAGGCAGGAACTCTGGGTTGCCTGCTGTGCCTGTGTGAGACTGGTAAGGGTCTGGATTCTGGGTCACAAACCCAAGCTGCCTGCTGGCGGGCTGTTTACTCACTGGAAAACATTTCTACCCATGGCTTCAGGTGAGTGTGTTCACAAGTGCCTTGGAAATTATGCTTATTCTCCAAGCTTTCAGACCACAGTGTGCATTTTCTGCTTGTATGTTGCTTCGGAAACCCAGTTTCTCTCCTCAGCGGGGGGAGAGCTGCTGCCCTTTGATTTCCTTCTATGACAAAGCCTTCAGTCTGACCTCACAACTGTAGGGGAATTGTTGTGTTAACTGGAAAAATCTTGACAAGGAAAAGAAAACAAGAGATTGTAATACATTAGGGATATTTTTCACAGTCTTGCTCTTTGGGTTATAAACAATGAATGCATATTAGAGAAAAGGGTTTTGTTGCTGTTTTGCTTTGTTTTTGTTTTTTGGTGGGAGATAAGAAGAAAGGCAGAGAGACAAGGAGGTGGAAGGGAAATGGAGAAGGCAAGGATGGTCTGGGAGACTGTCACACTGGAGTCTGAACTTGGATGCACAGTTGTTCATCAAGTCACAATATATGGGTAGAATATTGAATCTAAAACCTAACCTCCTGTTAGGTTTTTGTACTGTACTGATTTTTGTTATAAATAATTAGACTATTCCTACAGCAGACCTGGAGTTCTGAGGTGGTCCACTGAGCTTTTGAAAAATAGAAGCAAAATGATTACAGAGTTTCGTTTCTTACCCAAATCTCACTTTTAAAGAGTCCCTTTCTGCCAATGTGGCCTAATCTATTCCCCACGTAGAGGATATCAACTTGTAGTAAACTATGTTTTCAAGCTATAAAGGTAGAAAGTTATCTACACAGGGGCTGGCACTGCTGTTGGTGTTTAGGAGCCAAGGATAATGGAGTATTACTAAGATTCTCACATTCCTCCCTGAGTCACAGTTTTCAAGAAGATGTAACTCCTTCCTGGTTGTCCTCCCACAGATGTGGTGTCCCTGGGGAGGACAGTTAGTTCCATAGCAGGGGCGTCACAGTCACCAAGCCCTTACTGCCACCTCCTTGCTGTTTCCAGAGAACACTGGTTCATGCCTCCTTTCGATAGCTTGGAATGTCCTCTTGAAGCACGGTTGCTTTGCACAGCTTCCTCTGACTTTCATAAACTCCACTCCCTCACCACTGCCGACACTTTTTCGTAAGCATGACCATCCCTGTGGCCTCCGAGGCAGTCTTGGAGCCTGGGGTGGTGCCTGGGCCTTGCCATTAGCATGCCTGATGTGTCATCCGATCACAGCAGGAACATGCAGTAGGACCAAACCACATAAACAGGGTGAGTTCTGCCTCAGCCTGCATGACCAATCCACTTCAGAGATCTCTGCAGGTTTGGCTGCTGAGAGAACAGAGAAATTATCTCTGTACTGGGCATGGGGCTGTCAGAGAGAGAGAGAAATTTACAGGGAGGTTAGAAACAGTGCTATTTCCTGTTCCCTCTTCTCTGCCAGCATAAGCCAGGCTCTCAGCCTTCCTGGCTGGGTGAGTGCTGTGCTGGGCATATGGCAGGTGGAGACACAGCAAAATCAAGGCATAGGCTGGGGTAAGGGTCCCAGGGAAGGCCTGGCTTTGCTGGTCTTTCTTTCACCTCTTAGGGCTCTTGAGCCTCTTTCTCCCCTCAGTATCCCCTAATAGAAGTACACAGCTGAGTCTGGGTCTTTAGTGCCTATTTCTAGGATTTGCTGCACTGACTCTGTTAGCATCAAACCTTATACTCCGTTCCCTCTGACAGCCTCCTGATGGGCTCTTACCATCTCTCGGGCCCTCTGCCGAAGGGTCTGTTCAGTATGTCTGTATTTATTGTTAGAATGATTGTAATCAAGCCGTAAACTGTAAATTTGCAAAATGATAAATAAAATGTTTTTCACATCAGACTGTTTTGGAGGAGAGGTTAAATTTGCAAATGGTGGTAGGTAACTAATGAGCACAAATGATCATGTCACATCACTTGTATCTAGGTCCTAGAAACTGACTCTCATTCAAAAAGCACAGATCGGCTGCCTGGCTTGCTGTACACGGTGGGGGGGGGGGGGGCGTTGAAGCCTCTGGTGCGTGTAGCCCCAGGTCACACAGCTGGTTAGTTGGTGGTGCCGTGAAGTCTAGAGTTATCGGAGAAAAGGTTGCGGGAGGAGGGGTATCTGAGCTGGGGCTTGAAGAGTAAGTCAGATTTGAATGATGGATGGAAGAGAGGGAAATGTTCCTACCCAAGGGGCTGGAAATGCAGGGAACAGGTCCCACGTCTCTTTTCACTCCTAGCAGGTTCAATGCTGTGCTTGCAGGTGGGTGGTCTCTCTTGGTCACCTGTTCACTGATTTTGGATCCTTTTGGTATCTACTGATCTCTATTTCTTCTCAAATCCAGACTTCATGCCTGCTTAGTGACCTGAGGCAGTCTGATAGGTGGTAAATCAGCACGATGGTTGTCTAGAAAAGCCTTCAAGTCTCACCTTCTAATTACCCCAGGACTGAGGCAGATGAAGGAATCAAGGGCAATTCTGCCCCAGTAGGTGATGGAGCAGCCAACCCAGCTTTGGGACAGACTCTCCAGCTTCTGAAGATGTGGTGAGTTGGAACTCAAGGATTGTTTGGTTCTCCCTCCTCGGCATCGTTCCCTTTTGGGGAGGAGGACAGGCCTGGAGTAAGACAAAGTTCCTCTGAAACTCGCAGTCCTTGGGCTTGCTCCCCACCCAAGATGTTGGAGTCAGGGGAGCCCCTGCTGGAGAAGGCAGTGAGCATCGCCCTTCTCTCCCTGCAGTCTTCTCCTAATCCCCTCAAGTTCATCAGTCTGGCCTCAGCTTAGCCATGACCTCCTCCAACAATCGCTCAGTGGACAGTTTAGAACACACAGGCCAAAGAAAGAGTACTAAATTATAATGCAAGGCATATGGGAAATCATCAACTTTCTAGTAGTCAGAAACAGATAAACCTGTGATATCATCTTAATATATTTTATATAGCTGATTAGGATGTGAAATACTGTAATTTCAGCATGTAACTAGAATTTTAATGTGTGGCACTTTGGCTTTTCCGAAGTAAATCTGTGAAATCTGGTGTGTATTTTACAGTTGACATGTCTTGATTCAGATGCTGAAGTTTCCTTGTAAATATTTGATCTGGATTTAGATTTCAAAAAACTTAGAGTTGAAAAAGCAGCTTTGCATCCCAAAGCTGTTCCAAACACTTGAAGTTGTCTAAATAACTGAATCAATTATCAGCTCTGAAATTTAAATTTGTGAAAACAAAACAAGTAGAGTTTCAGTTTTATCCCTTCCCACATTCCAAGTGCTGGAGAGCCACAAGGGGCCAGTGGCCACCACATCTGACCGTGTGGATGTGAAGTGCCAACCTGGGCCTTCCAGATACCCCTTGGGAGAGGTTAGCCTGAAGGACTTCCACACAGTAAGAAACCTAGAAGAAATGCATAGTCCATGGGGGATGAGGACTGGGAGACCCATGTGGGAGAAGCAGGGCAGGAGAGAAGCAAAGGACACCAGAGAAATGAAGCCAACATGAACTGGCCAACAGACCTTGGGCCTCTCTGCTCTTCCCACTTCTTCCTCCTGCAGATGCTATGGGGGCTTCTCAGCCTCCCACTTGTGCCACTCTGAGGTCCAGGTGCCCACATGTGACAGGCCTAGGGCTTCCTAGTGCCGGGCTGCAGGCACATGGGCATGTGTTAAGTACAGAAGGACCCTGCCAGGTGCTGGACAAACACACATGTCTTGCTGGTGCTGGATGGACGGACACACACACACTACCCCTCACCTTTCTGACTAGGAGTTCTACCTGATGGAACTAGACTCAGGCAAAGTCATCACATTAGAAACCAGATTGGTCATTAGCAGCGCTGACAACTACTGGCATTCCTTCAAGCCGTGGAGAGAAGGACCTCAGCTCCACCTACTGGAGGCAAGATGACCTCTGGGGCTGCCTGCTGGGAAGTGGTGGGGAAATCTCGCAGTGTCCACACCCCTTAGGGCAGGGCACCTTCTTGTCTAGAGACTGCCTGGCACGCGGCATGTGATCTTCTGGCTGGGCATGAACTGTATGGGTTGTTGGGGCAGAGGAAAATCTGCATGTTCCACCCATGCCCTTTTGTTACAATGGTTGGGCAGAGGTGAGGGCCAAAGTATTCTGCAGAGCTGAATAACTCACCATAAAACATTACTGCAACCAGGTCAGGCTAGCATTTGGACTGGAGGTCAAGCTGAGATTCAGCACCATTCCCCTCTTCCCCCATATATCCACGACTGTTCCAATGCACCATTTGCTTCATTTCGCAACAACCCAAACACTGGCTCCATTTTCTCTGTGGGGAACATGGCCTCCATGTACCCACAGTGCTACCACCTTTAGTGGCAGTGCTAGGATCACCCACACTCCAAGGTTCCAGTGACAGGGAAACACCTTGTTCAGCAATATACCACCTCTATGCCAGCCACACTGTAACCTCATAAAACCCCAGATGCTAAAGGCACTAAAAACATTCCTGCCAATGATTTCCAGAAAGTCAACAACATCCTCCTACCTTCTACTGCCAAACTGCTCAAGAGGATCAAACTCTGACTCAGGGAAAAGGCTGACCAAGGATTGCAATGGCAATGGGATGCAGGAGTGGGCTCAGCTCCGGGGATATTACTGTCATCTCTTAATTCAGGAAACTAAATTCCTAAGACACAGTAATTGAGCTTTTTCCCTTCCCAAGGCTAAGATGTAGAAAAGGAATATATTATCATTTCTTGGCCTCTTGGCTCAGATCAAGTGAAAAGGAATATATGTATGTGTGTACACACACACACACACACACACACACACACACACACACACACACACACAGTGACTACAAGAAAGTTTTGTGAAGAGTTCCTGGAAATCTGTCATATGAAAAACCTACACAAGGATTCCACAATTTTTTTGCACCAAAATAAATTCATCTTATAGTTTTCCAGACTTCCTCAAGTACCCCCGTATATGTTCCTTTTAGAATGATTCTTTAAAATATAAAGCAAAGCACCATGACAGAAAGCAGATTTGTGACTCCCTGGGAATGAATAGAGGACAGAGGGACAACAAAGCCAGATGGTCATGGCTAAGGAGATGCTCATTAAACCCCTGACTATGGCAATGGTTTCTTCACATGTCAAAACTGTTCATGGTTCATATTGCAAATATGTGCCATTTATACTCATTATATACTCTCCATAAATCTATAAAGGCAACATAAAAAACAACTCACAGAACCTGTGATGCCTGGTCTTATATTGGCATCTACACCTGGCCCACTCAGAAGGCCAAGTCTGGCTTATACATTCCTATGGGTGGGGGAAGGCGTGTGCTTTCTATTCAAACAGCCAGTTAGAACACTGACATTGTAAGTCAAAGTTACAAAGCATGGGTTCACTCAAATACTAACTCTAAGTATTCCATGCAATGAAGGCAGTGAACACAGGGTTCACAGACTTAAAAGCAGATAGGGACAGTTACAGCAGCTCTGTGTTGGTGATGACCCTATGAATCAGCATTCTCTGGAAAGAGTAGAAACTTCTATGGTGAGGCAGGTAATGCAACTAACTGGTTAATCAGCTCATACCAGCTTCACAAACTGGGCACCTTACCCCAGACCTCAAACATTTTAGGGTCTCTCCTTCCCAACCACACCATATGAGA